AATGTGGCCTTATAAATGTCTTGTACAGCTGTAACATTGACATCCCAACTCCTGTACTCAATGCTTTGACTAATGAAGGTAAGTATGCCAAATGCCTTCTTCACCACCCTGTCTACCTGTTATGCCACTTTCAAGGAACTATGTACTTGCACCCCTAGGTGTCTCTATTTAACAACACTCACCAGGGTCCTATCATTAACTGCATAAGTCCTGCCCTGGTTTGTCTTACCAAAATGTAACATCTCGCATTTATCTCCATTAAACTCCATCTGCCGTTCCTTGGCCCACAGGCGCAGTTGATCAAGATCCTGTCGTACTCTTAGATAATCTTCTTCACTGTCTACTATACTACCAATTTTGGTGTCATTCACGAAGTTACTAACAATTCCTCCTATATTCTCATCCAAATTGTTTATGTAAATGATAAACGACTGGACCCAGCACCGATCCTTTTAGAACACCGCACGTCACAGGCCTCCGGTCTGAACAACGACCCTCTAACCACCACAGCAGACCATTATCCTCACTATATCATCAGGCCTGCTCTCAGACCAATTCGTACACCATTTCAGCCCTTCAACACTTTACTTTGGAGGTCAAGAACACCTACTCAAGTTCTTAGCTTGCCTTCTTAGCACACATTCACTTTGCACTTACTTGGAGCCTCACGGTTTGCATTGCTATTTTAGTGCACAGGGATAAGGAGATGGAGGTGTCACTGGGCTATGTCACTGTTTAACCTGTAGTGAGTGCCAGTAGCTCGTGCAGCAAAGACACAGCATACGCTCCAAGCAACAGATTGCCCTCAGTCGGTCAAAGGGCACATCTGAATAAGGGATTGGTGACTGTCAGTCAGGCACTTGGTTCTACCAGAATCTAGGGAAATGCCATCTTCCCTAAACTGAACTGGTCCCATTTGCCTGCATTTGGCCCATATCACAGTAAACCTTTCCTATTTATGAACCTGTGCAAATGTCTTTTAAATGTTGTAATTGTAACCACCTCTATCATGGGGATTACAGCATGCTCAGTCCAGGAGGTCAAATGAAACCAATCCAGGGATTACAGGTAGGTCAGTCAGGAGACTGTGAAGACATCAGTCTGAGGGACTGTATGTCTATACGGAGAGAGGGAAGGAGGGAGGAAGACTACTTTTGCTACAATGAGGCATAAGGGAGAGATTGTATACGATGGAGGAACAGTTAGTGGTCATGCATGAGCAGGAGTGGAGGTGAGTGAGTTGGAAGTATATTGGGAGGAAGAAAGGACGAGAGATACTTAGTGGACATGATAAATGCAAAGGTGAGTTGTAGTCCATGAATCTTGATGAGAGGCAGGTGTAGGGGCAGAGTTAGAGTGAGTGGCAGCTCAATGAGGACAAAGTAGCAGAGAGAGGGTGGTGGCACTTCCCTGCAGACCTCAGATCATTACCGTTCTCCCTGCATCGCTAGGTGTTCCTTTGAATGTGGGATACAGCACTGATCCAGGGCGCTAACTGGGTGCGGGCTAGCTGGGTCTAGTGCCATGGCCTACCCTGGCAGCCAGCAGGAAGAGCTGCCCTCTTCTCCACCATCTGGTTCACCAATACCTTCAAGTCCCTGTCTGCCAGCTGGAGAGGAGGCATTGCTTTCTGGATCGCATCCTCACTGATATTCAGGGAGATGGTGGTATAGTGGTAACATCACTAGACTAATCCAGGGGTTTAGGTTAATACTATGGAAGCATGGGTTCAAATCCCATTCCTGCAGATGATAAAACTTTGAGAGCTAGTCATCGCGAGAGTCACCACGATTGTTGTAAAAACCCATCAGGTTCATTAATGTCCTTTAGGGAAAATGCCATCCTTACCTGGTCTGGTCATTCCAGACTCGTAGCAATATGGCTGACTCTTAACTGCCCTCTGACATGGCCAAGCAAACCACTCAGTTCAAGGGCAATTAGGGGCACAGGCAACAAATGTTGGGCTCTCAACAAGGTTCCCTTGAAGTTGTGCAGCTGCACACGTGTGCCGCTCAGGTTCTGCACCTAGCGATTCACTCTCTGATCTTGGCACTGGCTTATAGTTCTGGAGATCACTGCAGGTAAGAAAACTAGAGAGAGCACTGCCACGCAACTCTACCCACATCCCATGAAAGAATTTCATTTTAAATGGTGAACACGACAGCCTGACAGCCGTTCCTCACTTGTAGTGTCTGAAGTGTTGTAGAACTGGGCTTTAAACATGGTGCCGGTTGAGGTGAACACCCGCTACTGCACAATTCCACAAGGGCACCATACAGCACTGTTTTGCACAGTTAATGTGGTGAAGAGCTGAAGTTTGCATGGGAAAAATTGCTGCGAGCTGTGGCAAATTGTAAAATATTATAGCACAGAAGGTGACCATCCGACCCATCGTGTCTGTACCAGCTCCCAAAAGAGCTACCCAGCTAGACACAAGCTCCAGTCCTATCTCTGTAGCCTTCCTACTTCATTCCTTTTAAATACATATCCATTTCTGTTTAGAAACCTCCTATGGAATCCACCGCCCAGGCAGTACATTCCAAATCCTAACAACTCCTGAGTTTCTCCTCATTACACTCCTAGCTCTCTTGCTGACAATCTTGAAATTGTGACCCCTAGTTGCTGACATTACCAACTAGGATGCCAATGAATCTCAGTCCACAAAACATGAACTGAAAATGGGAAACTTCAACCCAAGAGACATGTCAAAAAACAGTACCAAGTCACAGAGAACATTCGGTGTTAAAGTTTCCAGCCTCCATAATCAAGCTGTCGCTTCATTTGCAGCTTGAGCAGCTGACCCTGACAGCTGCTGCACCTCCTTTAGTTTTGTTAGCCACAGTGCCCCTGCAGTGCAAGCCCAGGAGACTGTGTTAGCACACACTGACTCTCCGACTTTCAAATGAGACCACTGAGGACTCGGAGGGGGAGGGGAGTTGGGCCAACAATACCAAAGGCTTGCTGAGTAGGGAGAAACTCAAGAAGCATCAGTCACAGAGACAGCTTCTGTGTGTACTTTCTCATTTAAGGAAAACTGAATCAATTTCCAATTGATAACCAGTAGTGTTGAAATAAGTGGTTAGTAACTGCAGGAAACCCTGGGTGAGATGCAACAGTAAAAATGCTGATTAATTTTAATAAATTTAAGATGTTGGGGGATACATCTGGTATAAAACAAGAGCATACATATGGGAAGGTTCCTAGGTTCAATCTCTGGTCTTCATATATCAGATATAGGGAGGTGAAACATCAGCCACTGTTGCTGGTTCCAGCTCCCATCTCTATCACTCTTGGTTACATGTGGACATCAGGTTAGGACAAGAAAAGGCTCAACTGTGATCATCACAATGAAAAGGTCCAACAACTATGTGACACCTGCATAAAAAAAGACCACTTTAATGACATTTCTGAAAGTTGTCATGATTGTGGAACTGTAGCTAACTGCTGCCTGTATACAGGATTTCTGTAAAAATGGATTTTTTAAATAAATAGACATTAATTGCAAGTGTTTTTTAAAAGGAAATTTAATGCAATTTTAAGTTACAATTAGGCACTGCCTCTAATTACAAACAATAAATGGGCTAAAATGGCTAAGTGACAATGATGCATGCAAGCACAATGCAAACACTTGTGATGGAATTGGAATGTACTTTTTAGAACTGACTTATTTTTATACAAATGACTGAAGAAAAGAAGTTAATGCAAATAGTATAGATCATTCTTTTAGCTGTCAACATTAAGCTGGTTAACATTTTGTCTCATCCTGGAAAGGTTTGAGAGAGGAGAAACACACCTACTGAATAAAACTAAGTCTTTGTTATTGAAGCAGCAACACATTCAAACGTTTCATAAGGATTTGATCTTGACTTCAGTCCGTGCCAAAATATTTCTGTCCAAAATGGGTGGGTGCGATTGGATGGACCTCTGTTGCTAAAATTGTGATTTCAGGGAATTCTTCTATAATAGACTTTGCACCTTGCAAAGGAAGGAAAAAAATGCTGATGATTTATTGACTTTCTTGAAAGTGGGACAGAGACATCCTCTGTCCTATTTGTTATAAAACAGCACTAAATATACAGCGGTTAGCTGCACAAATATATCAGCACCGTGCCTGAATCGTAATGCCTGAAGTGGTTCACACTGCAGAACTACAGCAGTATCACCATGCTGGCTGGATGATTGTCACAACATCTCAATAATAAAGTCTTCACTTCCCCAGCAATATATATAATATGTACCTTCAATTGCTGGTAAGTGATGTGCCTACTGCCCTGGTAAATACCCAACTTGTGTTCCAAAACTTGCTCTAAGTTCAGAGTGTGAAGTGAGGGAACTTAAACAACAGCTGCTAGTGCTGGGGTAAGGGAGAAGGGGAAACACAAGGGTTTACATCAATAAAAGTACAGAACTCTTGGAACAGTTTGCTAAGAGGCAGGACTGTCAGGACAAAGGAGCGCTTTAAATACAAGGAGCAAAATAAAGAAGATTAAAGCACTGGGAGTCCGAGTGAATGATGATATACAGAGCTGAAGTGAGAGAGAGAGTGTGTGTGAGAAAGACAGTGACACCAACCAGAAAAGGCCATTAAGTCGAAAAGGTAGGAAAGCTGCAAATGTCATCATTATAGCAGCAAATAGACTGAGGCAAGGTGATGGCTTGCAATCCTGTAATATTGAAAGTGGGTAGTCTTTAAAGAGGGAGAGATCAAAAATCAAACTGCAGGTTAAATTAGGATGGTGAGATTGCAAATGTTCTGGATGGGCCTTCTGATAAAGGTGACAGGGGATGGACTGGAAGAAAATGCAGTTCCGTGAGAGGGACAGAATATGATATCTTTACCTTTGAAGTATTTAGCTTGAGGAAGTTACAATTCATCTAGATCTGGATGCTGGACATGTAATCTTGTCGTACAGAAGGAATGGAGAAAAGATACAGACACTGATCCCACATCATCAGATTTTTTTTTATTATTAGTTAATGGGATGAGGGTGTCGCTGATCAGGCAGTATTTATTGCCCATCCCTAATTGCCCAGAGGGCAGTTAAGAGTCAACTACATTGTTGTGGGTCTGGAGTCACACGTAGGCCAGACCAGGTAAGGATGGCAGTTTCCTTCCTTAAAGGTCATTAGTGAGCCAGATGGGTTTTTCCGACAATCGGCAACGGATTCATGGTCATCATTAGATTCTTACTTCCAGATATTTTTAATTGAATTCAAATTCCACTATCTGCCGTGGCGGGCTTTGAACCTGGGTCCCCGGAATGTTATCCAGGGTCTCTGGATTAACAGTCCAGCGATAATACCACTCGGCCATTGCCTCCCCCATGTAACCAAACAGTATCACGTGAATGAGGAAGGGAACCCTTAGGGAATTGCTGAACTGACAGCGAAAAATTAGCTACCACTGAGATGCTGTGGCAACAAGTGGATAGGCAAGACTAGACACAAGGGCAATTTTGAGAAGGGTGGTATTGTTGAGCATGTTTAAAACTGCAGACAGCCACTGAGCCAAAAAGCACAGTATGACTGGGTTAAATAGTATATGGGTCTATTTTATAAGAATTTAAAAACTTAGCTAGAACAATTCTGAAATCTTCCAGCCCCTCACAACTCCACATCTGCTAATCTGTGGACATGGATGTCACTATTTTTCTGACATCAGAATTGGCTGAGTTGTG